CTGGCGGAGCGGGAGCGGCGGCGCGAGCTGCTGCTGACCGGGCCCGGGCTGGAGGAGCGAGTGCGCGCGGCGGGCGGGCAGCTGCCGCCGCGTCTCTTCACGCTGCCGCTGCTGCACTACCTGGAGGTGAGCGGCTGCGGGAGTCTGCGCGCGCCGGGAGCGGGCCTGGCGCAGGGCCTGCCGCAGTTGCACAGCCTCGTGCTGCGGCGCAACGCGCTGGGACCCGGCCTGAGCCCCGAGCTCGGGCCGCTACCCGCCCTGCGAGTGCTTGACCTGTCGGGCAACGCGCTGGAGGCGCTGCCGCCGGGCCAGGGCCTGGGTCCCGCCGAGCCGCCCGGCCTCCCGCAGCTGCAGAGCCTCAACCTCAGCGGCAACCGGTTGCGCGAGCTGCCCGCCGACCTGGCGCGCTGCGCCCCGCGCCTGCAGAGCCTCAACCTCACCGGCAACTGCCTGGACTCTTTCCCCGCCGAACTCTTCCGCCCCGGCGCGCTGCCCCTGCTCAGCGAACTGGCGGCTGCTGACAACTGCCTCCGGGAGCTCAGCCGGGACATCGCCCACCTGGCCTCTCTCAAGGTCAGCGGGTGCTGCCGGCGGGGCGGGATGGGGCTTTGGAGTAGCTCCGGAGCGGGAGCCCGCCCTCGGCGCTGAACCGTTCCTGGTGACACCCCGCGGGACACTGGGCCCCGGGAACTCCTGCTCGACAGGATGGAACCCGCTACCGTGGCATCGCCCCTGGGAAGGCCTCCCCGCCTCCCAGCTCCCTCTCCTCCTGACCAGACCAGCAGACTGGGTGGTGTCTGCACTCCTCCCGCGTTCTGTTGACGACTGGACTTGAACACGTGACAAGCTCTTTTGTTACTGCTGGCAGACTTGGGACCCGTGTCCAGTTTTGTATCTAACATTTGTGAGATGACTGAATGAGCCTTGTAGGAATTCGCATAACGCCACATGATGTGATTTCGAATCTGATTTTTCACTTGATCCTGGCAACAGCTTTCCAAGGTAGAGGTGGTTATTCCTGTTTTTCAGGACGCAAAGGGCGTGCCCAAAGTAGACAGCAGTCACCTGGGTTTGCCTCTAGACTGCGTTGTCTAGGGACTGTGTGAATTCATCTTGGCTCTTCAGGCCCCAGGATACTTCTTGGCCCATAATAGGCGCCCATGAAATCTGTTGAGTAAGGGATAGAAGGGAAGTCGCATGGCAGACCCACGACCAAAATCCATTGTGGGTTCTCTGTGTCTTTCCTTTACATTTTATTCTGGAAAAGGCAGTCCTGTATTTCTTCCTTCTCCCTTTTTCATCCTTGAGTTTGTGCAGACATTTCTTTTTTTCCTTTTTTTGAGTTGGAGTCTCACTCCGTCGCCCAGACTGGAGTGCAGTGGCCGCTCCTGGCCACTGCAGCCTCTACTTGCTGGGCTCCAGCGATCCTTCCACCTCAGCCTTCCAAGTAGCTGGAACTACAGGTGCGAGCTACCACACCCGGCTGATTTTTTTGACTTATTGTAGAGATGAGGTCTTGCCAAGTTGCCCAGGCGGGTCTCAAACCCACGGCTCAGGTAGTCCACTCACCTCAGCCTCCCAAAGCGCGGGATTACAAGCTGAACCACCGAGCCCGACTACATTTCTTAATAATGTGTGTACACTTTAGCGGCTGATCTATTTTTTTTTTTTTTTTTTTTTTTTGTT